AATGTGTTCCTTCTTGTGGATGATGCAGCCATACTTATTGATCTCATACTGATACATTTTTCACTATTTTTGTTTGTCATTAAAATGGGAAACAGATTTATATTAGAAAACCAGCTGAATTTTTTTACTGTATACCATTTTGATTGTTTGTGTTATGTTTGTTTTCAAATAAACCTTTTTTTAAAGAAACCTTTTTATTATTCTGTGTCTTCCTCTCCACCACTGTACACTAGCCAACTATAAAAGATGTACGATAGGATCATAAACATTGTTTCTCATAGGCATGTTCCCATTTGCATAGCCAGTAAAATGAGAAACCCCCTGCCATATGTGCTCCAACAATTGATTATCAGTCCAAAAGGCAAAGCAAATATTGTCAAGTAATCAGTATCTTGCCTTTTCACCCTAGCAGCCCAAGGGGGCTGAGAACAATCATGGATTGAGGTCCAAATGCAGCCTTCCTGCTGGACACAGTGAGGTGAGTTGAGACTTAGGTGCTGTAGAGCAGCTATACTTGGTGGCGGGTTCCTCAAATGGGAGAGCTCATACTGCAGTAGTAATCACTAATGGCTGGCAGGTGTGCTGTTGATTTCCAGATCACTTGGAAAGCACGTTATTCTTCCAAGCCCTTGTCAGGAGCAGCAAAGTTCACACAAACAGATTCCTCCATCTAAGGAATCTTCTATTTTGATGGTGCAGAGCAACCTGGTACCCTCCAGATTTTTTGGCCTACAGCTGCCATACTCCCTAGTTGTTGGCCACACTGATGGAAGTTAGGCCCATAACACTAGTTTACCTACCACTGGTGTGTAGAGCAAGCTACCCGCACAAAGGAGCACACAGCTGGAACCACACAGCTCAGTGCTGTGAGGAATCCAGTATGAAATAAATGTCTCCCATTTTTATGAGGAGAAGCTAATTTATCCTAGCATAGTTTAGTGAATTTCAAGCTGAGAAAAGATGCAGAGGTGAGTGCAGAAGGGCTAGAAATAAGTGATCAGAGGAAAATACTTTTAATGAAGATGAGAAAAACTGAAAACATAACTGGAAATCTTGAAGTGCATTAGACCTTATGTTCAATGTGTATTCTATTCAGTTCGTTTGGATTAATATTGAGAGGGCGTCATATTAATTTGAAGAAACTACATGACTTTTTGGCTGCATGTCTGTGATTGTAATAAAATGATAAGCAGATCATAATAAAACAGAATACTGTCACATTCTACCAAATGGGAATACAAATAAATAAGCAGAAAATAAACTCCCTGTAATATTTAGTTTCATAAAATCAGATTAATTTACATGATGAAGAAAAGTATTTATGGAAAAACATGGGGGAAAATATCAAATACTATTGTATTTTTGGCTCCAGTTTTTCAGATATGCACCCCCTCACAGAGGTATTATTTCAAGGCAGACAATATTATATGTAGTACCATGGGACATGATGTTCCAACCCTGAGGTAGCCTATAAATAGATAAATTCGGTGGTTTGAAGCATTGTCAGCTCTGACTTCTGCTTAGGTATGACTGAATGTTTTTAAAATTATTCTGGAGTAGCTTCTGTGTCTCTACTCACATTTTTGAGAAACTTGGTCAGACATAGACTTGCGAGGGAGCTGATCTTGGCTTGCTTCTGGTCTCTGAGCTTCTCCTCTGGGAAACCAAGTCAATATGGGCTGACATGACTAGGAGGTCTAAATAATTTATCTTTGCTGCAGCACTGGAGGGTGTTTGTGCATGAAACATTCCTGGCTGGGTATATTACTGGCTCTCAAAACATCTCATCTTTGCCTCAGAGCATCACATTTTATACTGTATTAGGCTTTCTGCCATTTTTCAAGGATCTTGAAATCTGAAGTACAGATTTTCTTCCAATGAATTATTTGCTTCGTGTACATGCTATTTAACATCTACACAAACTCACTGAGTGGGGTCACCTGAACTTTTGGAGCTTGTTGCCATCATTATGCTGATGGCACATAGCTCTATTTCTCCTTTCATGATCAGCAGGTGAGCCTGTCGATGTGCTAAATGGATGTCTGGCTGCTACAATGGACCAGATGAGGGCTAGCAACCTAAAGCTCAGTCTAGGCAGTCTAGATTTCTCTATCTGGATGTAGGGTGTTCAACTTGGAAGGAGAAGGTTCTCCTTGGCATTCTCCTTGATCCATCTTTGTCAGTTGAGGTTCAGGTGTCCAGCTTTAGCTGTTGGCCAAAGTATGCCCTTATCTGGGTAGGGGTAGTCTGGTTTCAGTAACCTATGCTCTGGTTATCTGTAAATAAGGTTACTGTTATACACTCTGTGTGGAGCTGCCCTTGACTGTTCAGAAGATGCAGCTCAGGCAAAATGCAGCAGCAAGATTAAGTGAGACCCATCAGTCTGAACACATAAGACCAGTGTTGGCCTGCATGCAGTGGCTGCCCGTATGCATCTGGGCCCAATTCAAGGGCTGGTTTTAATCTATAAAGCCTAAGATAACTCAGCACTGCAATCCCTGTTGGAGCATCTCTCCCAACTGCAATCAGACATTCTACACAGCCTCCAAGGCCTTCCTCCAAATGTCTAGTCCAAGAAAGACTCAGAGAGTGACAACAAGGGAAAAGGCTTTTTCTGTGATTCCCCCATCTATGGAATGTCCACCCCACTGTGGTCCACCTGATACCAACCTTGTCATCTTGTTGATGCCAGGTTTAGAGGACCCTTTATGCCAAGGCTTTTAAAGATATACTTGGCTCTTTGGGACTTGAGGGAATTACCCATCCCAGGTGTTTTTCTTTTACAAGGTCATTCTCTACTGTATGTTTTGGCTGTTTAATTGCAATTGCTTTGTTTCTTTGATAAGATTTTATGTTATTCTTTATTGTATTTTACTGTCTTGTATTTAATGGACTGTTGTAAACCACCTAGAGAACTTCAGCTATGGGGTCGTGTAGAAATGAAAAAATAACTATAATAATGATATAAAATGATTTAGATATAAAATGATATTAATAATTATACACAGCTGATTTTATTTGATTTCCTGCCTTGAATTTACAAAAAACAGTAGAAGTCAGTGGAATTAAGTGCAAGAGGGCAACATCATTTGGAAATGCTGGCAAGGGAAGCAAGAAAAGATGAAGGGACTCGTAATTTAGTCACCGAATAGTTATTTTAATTATTTGATTTCTGACCATGAGTAAGTGGGGCCTGAGGGAGGGAACATTAACTGAATGTGCACTGGGGAGGCACACACAGGCCTCCCGGTCAATACAGCTGCCAGCATGCTGCTGTTGCACTCTACTGCGCATAAATACACTGAAGGTTTGCTGGGGTGGAAAAGAAGGGAAGAGAGTGCCATATTGTCCAGGCTGAACCCTCTATGTATAGGGAAATAGAAAACATACTGAGAGTGCATGTGGCATAGTGGTTAGAGAGCTGGGCTGGAACTCAGGAGATCCAGGTTCTAGTTCCCACTCACCCATGAAGCTCACTGGCCAACTTATGGGCAGCCATTTCTCACGACCCTAGAAGGTCATTGTGAGGACAAAATGGAAAAGAGAAGAGTGAGCATTGTAAGTTGCCATAAGTTGCTTGCAGGAAAAAGACTGAATATGTATATATATTAATTCAATAATGAAGTACCTTGGGAAATGGGTGTGTTGGCCCCTCCCCTCCCCTCCCCTCCCCTCCATTATTGTATTACATCATTATCTCATAAAGCAAGTTACTGACCAGCTCTTTACTCTGTTGCAATCAGAGCTATATTCTGCACTGCTTCACATAGAGAATACAGCCATAGCATGTCAGCAGAAATTCTGTATTTATTTAAGATTTGTGGTTCTTATCACGTAAATTGCTAATCAGTGGTCAATTGCTGGGTGTGTTTGTTGTTCTAAGAATAGCTTAATGACTAAATAAGGCTAAGCAGGCTTGTTCTCTCCCCACCCCTTCCTGTCCACCCCAATGAAATGATGACAAATGAAGATGTACCTCTTAAAGACATACCTGTTTACTCAGGCTTTCTCTGATTGCATTGCTCTGTTTTACTGTTCCTGTGTTGCTTTTAATGTATTTACTGAACTGTATGCAGTCATTTAAACAAACATAAAACATACGCCGATGAAATAGAGCAGAATGTGTGTATGAGAGTGAAATGCAAGGTTTGTACCTTTATTAAAATAATTGTAAGCTGTATTTTTCAGTGGGGAGAGTCAGTGAATATAGGAAGCTACCCTATATTGAGCCATAACATTAGTCCACTGAGTTTAGTGTTACCAACCTTTAATTGTGCTTGTTTTCTGGAATTTAAGAAAGGAGTCTTTCCTAGTCTTTGTTGGAGATACTATGTAATGAATATGGCACATTCTGTAAGGAAAGCTCTGTCACTGAGCTGCAAACACAACAAATATGGAGTTAAATGATCTGAGAACAATCTAGCAAAAACTATTGACTATTAAGTTCCATTCTATGCCATTGTACACAATACGGTCATGATGATCCATCTTTGTAGGACTGTAACATTGAATTCTACAATTGTGTTTATTGTGGGTGAACAACCCATAAACCATGCATTTATATTTGTTTTCTGATTGCTAATTGGGATTTTGAAATAATTTTTCTTTGCTGTTGTTCTTGCTTTAATTTAGTTTCTAAACAATCGTAATGGTAAATTGTCAGTCCTATTCATTTCTAGACAGAAGAAGATTGGTTGGGTCATGATGGAAACCGTAGGCCTTTTCTTTGTTCAAACATGCATAGGATTGCACACAAATATATCAATTTCAAGAAAATTAAATCACAACTGTTATATCTATATCTTTATAGATATAGTCCAAACATAATTTGGACCAAATATAACATTTTATTCTAGTAATGGTATAATTTCATGTAACATGAGCAAAACACTTCTGCACATATGAAAATATACCATGAAAAATGTATACTTGGTTTGCTGTTTCAGAAGCACAACAGTTGAAAGATGCCCTCTTTTTCTCTTTTTTTCTGATTTTTCCAGGAAGAGCCATATGTGATGTTTAAAAAATCTGACAAACCTTTATATGGGAATGATAGATTTGAAGGATATTGCATTGACCTCCTCAGAGAACTATCAACTTTCCTTGGATTCACCTATGAAATTAGGCTGGTTGAAGATGGAAAGTATGGAGCCCGGGATGATGCCAGCGGACAGTGGAATGGCATGGTCCGTGAACTAATTGATCATGTAAGTTGCTTTTGATGGGCTTTTTTCCATAAGTGAAACATTCTCAGTTTGTCTCAGTAATTCTTGAGCTAGAGATTTGCCTGAACTTCCTTGAAATAAAGAAGATGTACTTACTAGTATTTACAACATGCTTGGATTGTGTAAACCACCCAGAGTGTTTCAGCTGCAGAGTGGGATAGAAATGTAAATAATAAGAATAAGAGTAGGAATAAACTTCATTGGTAGCTATGCATAATTCACATCTTACATTCACTTTAGATCTCTCTAGGTTCTTTTCTCTTGTTGTTGGCCTAATAATATTTACCTGAAGGTAAACTAGTATTTAAATAATTGGCAACATTTCTTCTGGAATGTAGTTCAGATGTGATGTGTGTGGGTAGGAATTGTGATGCTCTTCAGCTTTTTGTGTGCAGAAAATAGGCATGTCATAAAACTCTAGACATATTCTTCCTGGGACCTGTACTTGCATGACCAGGAAGTTTTTAGTGGCTTGACAAGGAACATTCTGAAATAGCATAATCAGGTCTTTGTTTGTCTAGATTAGGCTTGTGTTCATGTCAGCTGCAACTGCTTCTGTGTAACATGCTTTTGTCTGCCAGTGCATACAGCTCAGTGGGGAGGATAAACTGTGGTGAATAGTTAATAGCCTAGCAAATGGAATTTCTGGTGAGTATGTTAGGAGCTTCTTGGCTGCACTGCTGAATTGCATTATTGTTTTTCTTATGGATTTTAATTTATTTTTGGAGGTTTCTTAGAGAATCTTTGTTGGCTTCAAACGGGATATTCAGTGCTCAAAAATAAAAATAAAAATGTGTTTCGCTTGCATTTGTATTACCCTTAAGCGCCTTTGGAGGCTTTGTTTCAAACTAAAGAGCTTGGACGTATCTGTATGTGCAATGAATCTGTAGACGGAACCTCTAGAGCAGTCACACACCTCCTTGTGATACCAGCCTTGGTTTTATGCTGCAGAGGAATCCATATTTAACCTTTAAAATATGTGGTATTATCTTCCATTAGCATATACTGAGAAGGTCCCTGTCTCCTTCATTTAAAATATCAGCTAAGAAGTCTTAGACAGTAAGACAGAAATATCAATGCATGCTGAAACAGCAGGGTAATTCGATGTGAGTCAAAACAGATATCATTACAGGCAATTGTTTATAATTGAGTAAGTCAGGCATCCCTTCACTTTATAGCTTTAAAAACATACTCTCTCAGTAGGTGGTGCCAATTGAATTTGGTCTCCTGGAAACAGAGTTTAGTCTCTTTGAAAATTATGCAATTGTCTCCAGCTTCTTTGTGTTTTGTCATATTTGCATTTATTTAGGCAAACTGTTCAATAGTAAATATCTGATCAAAGCCACTTGTAATACGATGAATGTTCTGAAGGTTGCTGACATTTAATGGAACAAAACAAGGAGATAGTTCTATCTTTCAAGCTTATATTTTCCATTGGTAAAAATGGAGTGTAGTAAGTGAAAAATGCAGCCTCCCCCCACTCAGTGGCCGACAACTTGCCTGATGGCCTTCAATCTGTTTAAGACTCTCTTTGTGTCATTTCAGGCCTGTTCCTTATATTGCTTCTTCACACTGTTGTCCATGAGACACAAAGTGTCTTCTTAATGCCTTTATTCTTTAAGGCCTTCGTGTTATTTAATATTTTACTTAATATTTTAAAAAAACATATCGAGCAGGGGTGAGCAATTTCCATTTCCAACTCTATGGACCACAGCCCCTGTGGGGGAGTACATTGCCCATGAGCACCTCAGAAAGGAGGAGAAGAGAATTAATGGTTTGGCACTGAAATTTCAGTGGTAAATGTTTCCACAACACTAGAGTGCTATGGGGGTTCCATTTAATTTGTTCCCAAGTCAAATTTACTCTTTTGGCAACAACAGATGCCATGATGACATGATGATGATGGTGGTGGTGGCGGTGACGTGGCAGGACCACATCTGGGGATGGCAGCCATCACGTGCTTGTTGCCCACCCCTGCCTCGTAACTCTGAACACTTTCAGTCTTCTTACACGCCCCCAGATTTTCTCTAGCCAAATTGTTCTCATGGTTTTACCAAAACCCAAGGCTTTAGTTTGTTTTCCCTCTTTTTGAGGGTTGCTGACAGACAACGAATGAGTATGAATCTGGAGAACTCTTTTAGGTGATAGTTCCCAGATGGTTGCATACATGCGCAGTGGACTTCTTCCCACTTCAGAGAAGTATTCAAACTTCTTTTAGGATGCCTTCCAATTTTTCCAAATTTCTTCTTGTCATGGAGCTGTTGTTTAAGAAAAGCAGTAGCATACACAAATGCACACATTGTGGCCAAATGCACAGAGATACAAATGATGTTATGTCCTTGTAGCAGCACAAAGCTATTCTTCTCCCTATCTATTCCTATCAGCTCCCCTTCCATGATGTGGACCCAGTACTATACGTGAGAGTACGCAAGTGTATCTAGCCATTAATTTTCCTGAGAGATAATGGCCTGGAAGAATATAAACCGATGACCCTTATACTCTGGCTGCGTTTTTAAAAACCCTGATTGTAAAGGAGGAGGGAACGAGGGTTGCATGATCTGCTCTGTGTACTTGTTATGTCTTCTTTCTGCCTTGCTCCCATGCACACAGTTTATTTCTCTCTCCTTCATACAACCAGGAGACAAGAAAATATAGGTTGCTGAATGTGAGCCTCTCTTTAGTTAAAAGATATATACAGCTCCGCTAGAAGGCCTAGACTGTGCAACCAATTTCTCACATTGGTGAGCAGTTACACAAGTAATCCAATTGATTTATATCTAGCCCCAAAGTGGCTGCTTCAAGTCAAGGGATTGATTAATGGAGATGGTCATCAGTACAGCCTTCTGAGGCTCTGTGTCTAGCAAGCAAGCAATCTGTTTCCATTTGTCCCTATTTTTGCTTTTATTTTTTATTCCCACTGCTTTTATTTTATTTTGTTTTATTTTTACTTCTCCATGGCTTTCCTAGGATATTTACTTATACATTCAGTATGGGCTTTTTTCTGTTTTAATTGTGGATTCAATTAAAAAGAAAATCCTCTTTATAGAAACACATTATTGCAATTTAATTGTGATAGAAACTTTTTTGTTTGTTTGTTTTCTAAGTATCTTATCTTTGAAATGATTCCTTGTGAAGGAAAAGATACAGTCATTGCGATAGAGATAAGCCAATATATTAGCAATTCCTGAACTGTCATTTTACATTCCTGGTGAACATTAGATACTTATTCACATGGCAGTCTCCATTCAAAGAATGGAGCTGCTGCATGCAATTCCTCACTGTGCTATTTGACAGGGTACTCCATTTTTCAGAGGAGAAATGTGTGTAATAGCTACAGATTTTGAAGGAAGTAAGAAAGTGGAAAAATAATACAATATTTTCTATTTTATTGTTCCACTTTGTACTATAATATAATAAGGATATCAGAATCAAAATAATGATAATGTAGATAAGGAATCACTTTGCACAAAGGGAACACTTAGACAAACTTGAGAAAATGTGGATTTGCAGAAATATTGAAATACCTCACTAACAATATGGGCAACTTTTAAAATTTGGGATAACTCACAGGCAAGGTGTAGTTACATCATGAATCTGAACCTCCTGGCAAAAGAGTGCTACTTGTATAAGCTGCTTGCATCTTGGTGGCTTCACTTGGTTAATTTGAATAGGATGGCAGGTCCTTCTACCATTTCCCCATTATCCCTGTCCTCCTGTCCAAGCACAGCATGTGTTCTTTTGACTCCATTACACCTGCAAAGCCCCCAAAGCCCCCGAGCAGTGTTGTGCATATGCTGGACAATGTGTCGTTGCTGATGTACACTCTCTCAGGTAGAGCGGTAATGAGGTGATCTCTGAGGATGTTGTCTTCAAGCTGGTCCAATAAAGTAAACATTTGCACATTTGACAAATACATCTGTGTTCGGATCCCAGCCAAAAGACCCTCTGCATGGCATATCAAATGTTCTGTTCTCAAAGCAGCTTCTATTTACTTTCTTGAAGTTTATGTGAAGAGCCACAGTGCCTAATGCTTGAGCATTTTCAATGATACACATCAGCACTTGTATGTATTATTGTATTGCTGTATCCAGTCCCTTTAATCAGCTGCATGAAAGGTTCTTAAATATAAGAAGAAAACTTGTCCTCAGCTGAGTAACATCAGTAATTGCTAGTCTACCTCCAACTTGCTATTTTGGGGCTAGGTGATTACCTGTGTGGTGACCACCCAGGAATTCTTGAAGGAAGCAGATTTCCTTGATGAATTTTGTCTGGGGAATTATGGTTACTAATGCAACCTGAAAGTCCAACATGGTAAATGCAACCAATGGATTCTCCTGGACCTTGCAGCAGCCCTCAATATTCAGCAACCTTCAACAGCCAACAGTCTAGGAAAGGCTGTTGTCATTATTATGACAGCTTACTCAGCTGGTTTTATTTTCCATGTTCATGTTGTGGGAACAAAGGTGGAGCTGTAATGGAGATAATGATGATGAATCCAAATTTAAAAAACTGATGTGGCATATGAAGTTGGTTTTCCTGAGAGCAATGGCTGGATTCAGACAACATGACAAGCCATGGTAGCATTTTTATCTTTGTCTGTCTGTCTCATTGTTCAAACCCAGCCTTGATATTTCACCATGGTCAATTTGGTCTTTAGCAACCACGTTAAGAAACAAGAGCAAGGGCAAGGTTTCTTCTCATTCATTCCAGAGTGCAGGACATGGAATAACAGGCTTATGTTAAAAGAAATCAGATTTAGACTCACTGGCAGAGCAATACAACCATGGGATCCATTACCTGCAGACAGTGAGGGTTCTCCCTCACTGAAGTGTGTTTGACCAGTCATCTAAATGGGATGGTGTAACTTGGTGTCCTACATGGCAAGGAGTTGGACTTGATGGCCTTCTGGCCCCTTCCAACTCTACTAATCTATGATTAAATGATTCCATTCTTTTATGGTTTGTTTTATGGACTCTCCAAAC